TATTGTATCGTTAAAAATTATTTTTTTATTTTGTACAAACAAAATAAATATATTGAAAAATATAAAAACAATAAAAAATTATACTTTAGATGTTAATTTAGTATCAAAAACGTAAAATATTTGAGTAGCCCAAGAAATAGCCGAAGATTGCAGCGCCACAGCACTAGCGAAAATTTAAATTTGCCAACTGGAATGCTTTCGGATAACAGACGTTTCGGATAAATGACGCTGTACTGTAAATCTTAAAATCAAGTAAAAATATTAATTTTAACTCTATTTTTTGTACTAGAAAAAAGTATAGTATGTTTATAGTACAAAGATTAAGGCATAGAAATTTAATACACAGAAATAATTAGAAATAACAAGAAAATTGTCTATTAAAAAAGCAATCATTAGTCTTTTCCAATTTACAGCACACTAAAAAAAACTTTGAATTTAAAATAAAAAATGCAGAATAGTAAAATTAATATCTCAATAATGAGCCAATAAATTGCCAACAATTATTATTACATTAAAACTTCATAATTTCTGGAATTAGTACTCACTGAAATCAATTTCAGATAGTTGATTTTCTTATAATCAGTGCCCTACTGTGCAATGAAACCAATTCTACACAGGCTAAATGATATAAATAAGTTATGTTTCTAAGGCATATTTTTTGATCACAAAAACATCACCAAAATTCTAAGACCCAAAACACTTCTAATATGAAAGATTTAAAGAAATGTGAGCTTGCTTATCATATTTAAGAGTAATGAAAACAAATTCTAGTCATTTCTTAAAATTTAAAAATAAATACATTAAAGAATTAATTATTGTGATTTTGTCACAATGCTGGACTGCAAATTTTAATCATCTTTTAATTTTAAAAAAATCATGTGACTTCTGGTCCAGACTGAAAGTTTGTATATAGTTATTGGGTGTTTGGTCTCTAATCTCTATATCGCATCTAGATTTTAGCAGTGTCCAGCCCCTGTACATCATGCTTCTCGTGGTAACAGTCAAGTCATGCCAGTCATCTAGCTCTGTTCTGGAAAACATTTTTTGAATTGAAATCATATGACTTCCAGTCCAAACTGGAAGTTTGTATATAGTTAATCGGAGAACTCTATTCCCTAAGCTATTCATACTTGATCTCAATTTTCATCTACCTAACTCCATTCTCAAGAATTAATGAAGGACAGTGGGAATGTATAGATCTGCAATTTGAAAATTGTAGCCCAGTAAGATAATTAATTATCTAGTTTTGGGAATCAGTGAACAGTGATGGTTGTAGTAGTAATAGGTGGTATATGGGAAGGCAAACAAAATCCTCATCATTGAAAAAGAGAAAGGTGAGTAATAAAGAATACATTTTTACAAAGGGAAAATTGTAAGAAACACCTCCTATCACTATGCAGTTCAAAATCAAACAATTGTCAATTCCATCAANTTGACGTACTCTATTAAAATGCAATCAAAAATGCAAAAAACCGCATTTAAAATAGTATAAATAGAAGCAGAGTTCTTTACGGTAAGCCTTCCCCGTAATGCTAACCATAAAGAACTGTCCATCCCCCATGTTTAACGGAATAATATACAGCCTATGTCCACCCTGAAGTTCCATTCTAAATATTGGTGAAAAAATTTTTGAAATCGGATGAGTAGTTTTGGAGATTACCTGCTGCATCCAAACTTACATACAAACATTACCTCTTTATTATATTAGTGTAATAATTAGTTATATGCATACAATATGGAATTTTTTAAACCGACATTTTCATTCAGATAAGTCGTGAAATAAGTTCTTTCAGATTAAATCTATCAAAGACAAGTCTGTCAAAAAGGGTTACCATTTATTTTGCATTCCAGACTACACATACACATTAATGGCGACAGGCCTTCCTTTTTAGGCTTCATGCCGCCAAAAGGTAAAAAAAGTCATTTAAAAAACACAAACATCCAATTAAAAGTAAAGGAATCGGTGAAGCAGACGTCTTTCTTCTTATCCATCTGGCCAATGGGTGGTTATCCATCTGGCCAACAAAAAGAAATTTTTAAATGTACCGTCGCCAGGGGGCAGCTTCAAAATCTACATTTTCCAGCACTTTTTTTAGTAGAGAAAAAGCAGAACCACCCATTGGCCAAATGGATAAGAAGAAAAACATCTGCTTCACCGATTCCTTTACTTTTAATTGGATATTTGTGTTTTTTAAAGGACTTTTTTTACCTTTTGGCGGCATGAAGCCTAAAAAGGAAGGCCTGTCGCCATTAATGTGTATGTGTAGTCTGGAATGCAAAATAAATGGTGATCCTTTTTGGACAGACTTGTCTTTGATAGATTTAATAATAATCCAGCCATTGGACGGAAAAATTCAACAAAAAGTTCTTTCAGGTTTTTGGATAATAAGTTTATAGTGACGAGCAATTCTTTTTATCTAAGAATTGATTTTTATGAACAAATAATATATCAGTTATTCATAAGTCAGTTTGTTTATGTTACAGAATTCAGCACATCCATACATTATGCACAGACAAGTTGAAAAATAATGTAAAAATAAATCATTAACTGTGGTTAAAATGCTCCAGCTCTAACAAAATACATGGTTTTCCAAAATGAATGCAACCATTTTAAATCACTATAATTACATTAATTATTATCTGATACGTATGCAATGTACGGTACACCAGTTGACAGAGTAACTGAGTTTCATCTTCCATTTGCATTCTTGTCTACCATCTATAGGAAGTACAGTAAACAAAAATGGTGACTTCACAGTAGAGAAGGCATTCTGCAGTTTGCAAAGTTGGAATTTTCAGTAATTTATAGAAGCTGTAGAACTATGGCTGCTATGGGATAAATAACAATATATTTGCTGTAGTGAGTGTAGTAATATGAATATTGATTGCATGTGTGCCTTGTGACATAAGGTACAAACATTTGAGAAATTGCAATGGGCAAATTGAAACTATAAAATATTGGAAAACTGTCAATGTACAGTACATGACAACGTTCTCAGATAATTATTAACATAATTACAATAATTTAAAATGATAGTATTCTTTTTGGAAGATCCTGTATTATGATATTTGAGAAAATTTAAGCTTATTATTAATAAAGAAAACATTCACCTGGCATTAATAATTAGAATGTGATATTGGATGATTTTATGGGGTTAAGAATGAATATGGTAAGAAACTTGATTAAGTTATAATTAGTTTTAAATATTTAANTGACTTCATTTGTCACATAACATGCTATTTTCTTGAATAAATAAACAGAATTGGATTATGTAGGATTGCATTTAATCCTACATAATCTAATTCTTATTATTAAATCTTTACTAGTTTTTCCAGTGCATTGCATCATTGATCTTCAGTAATGTATTTCCTATACTAGTTATAAATTTTACTTCTCTTGAAGGGTATTTTGATAGTGAATAAAATCATACTTTGTAATTGGATTTTTATTTGTTCTTACTTTTTTGACTTAAAAAGTCTTTCTGTGTCATTTAAATTTTGCTTACACTGTACTTTGAACTATTGATTAATAACTTGTCATCTTCTGATAGTATTATAAAGATATGATAATTATACATGTAATATGTAAGAAACAATTATACTGATTTTTTTATATAAAGGGAATATATAAAAATTATTAATAAAAAGTATTGTATATTTAATTTTACAAATGAGTAATAACATTTTGAGTAAGTAAAATTTTTCTCTTTTGTACAAGGACTGTACAATTTTTTATAAACATCTGTTATTGAGTAGGACATATAAAACAGGTACAGTATGTACAGTACATGGAAAGGTGTAATGTGTTATAAGGCCTGTTTTCAAATTCATAAAAGAGAAAAATTTTATAATAACCAGAAATCTATTAACGCTATACAATAAAATTAACACATTTATAGATAGGCAGATTGCTGAGTTAAGGCATCAATCAGAGTGGTAACTCTGAGGACCTGGAATTGAATCTGGGCAGTCAAAAACCCCAGAAATTTTTTGGGGGTGTCTGTTTCAGATATATCAAATCCATTCTTGCCATTTTGACCACCCTATTGACCTAAAAGACCTTAGGGTCCATAGGGTGGAAAGAGAGGTTTTACAAAAATGAAAAGTTTCATTCTGCTAAATCATTAAAAACCTTTCATCTCCAAGAGTATAAGAAAAGTTAACTTGAATGAAGAAAAGCTTTCTTGTCTTGTTAATGGCACCACCACAAGTTCTTTGAAATAATTAATTAAATTAGTATTGTAGAGATATTGTTTTACATTTCAAACCAATAATTTTATGATTCAGAAAATAGACCCACTGCTGAGTCTTTTCAGATAGAACCACAGATAGGCCAGCCTGTTGACAAGGCACAAGCTAACTGCTAGTTGGCTTTGCCTTGTCAACAGGTTAGTCAAGTGGAATTTTTCAGGTTTTCTTCATGTTTATAACACCTAAACGACAGCCAGTTTCCCATAGAAAATCCTCCTGGGAGGCTTCCCCTTGGCAGACCACCTGTGTGTCATGTTGCATGTAAAATAAACATGATTCAGAAAATATTACTTTAATTTATAATTTCAGAGTCCTGTTGGAGCAATTGTAATAAATCCCTCTACAAGTGAAGTTATATGCATTGCTGTTGATTTAAGAAAACTTCATCCTCTTCAGCATGCTGTAATGGTTGCAATAGATCTTGTTGCTCAAAGTCAAGGAGGCGGCACTTGGAAAATGACTGGTAAAGATAATTAAACAAAAACATTAATCAAATTTATATATTACTTTTGAAAAACTTTTCTTTTTATACTTATTTTAAATTTACAGATCCTAATTTATTCTTCAAAAAAGATACTTGCACATCTACTGTTCCATACTTGTGTACGGGTTATGAATTATATGTGACAAGAGAACCATGCACTATGTNTTCTCTACTGTGAAGTCACCATTTTTGTTTACTGTACTTCCTATAGATGGTAGACAAGAATGCAAATGGAAGATGAAACTCAGTTACTCTGTCAGCTGGTGTACCGTACATTGCATACGTCTCAGATAATAATTAATGTAATTATAGTGATTTAAAATGGTTGCATTCATTTTGGAAAACCATGTATTTTGTTAGAGCTGGAGCATTTTAACCACAATTAATATGATTTATTTTTACATTATTTTTCAACTTGTCTGTGCACAATGTATGGATGTGCTGAATTCTGTAACATAAACAAACTGACTTATGAATAACTGATATATTATTTGTTCATAAAAATCAATTCTTAGATAAAAAGAATTGCTCGTCACTATAAACTTATTATCCAAAAACCTGAAAGAACTTTTTGTTGAATTTTTCCGTCCAATGGCTGGATTATTATTAAATCTATCAAAGACAAGTCTGTCCAAAAAGGATCACCATTTATTTTGCATTCCAGACTACACATACACATTAATGGCGACAGGCCTTCCTTTTTAGGCTTCATGCCGCCAAAAGGTAAAAAAAGTCATTTAAAAAACACAAACATCCAATTAAAAGTAAAGGAATCGGTGAAGCAGACGTCTTTCTTCTTATCCATCTGGCCAATGGGTGGTTATCCATCTGGCCAACAAAAAGAAATTTTTAAATGTACCGTCGCCAGGGGGCAGCTTCAAAATCTACATTTTCCAGCACTTTTTTTAGTAGAGAAAAAGCAGAACCACCCATTGGCCAAATGGATAAGAAGAAAAACATCTGCTTCACCGATTCCTTTACTTTTAATTGGATATTTGTGTTTTTTAAAGGACTTTTTTTACCTTTTGGCGGCATGAAGCCTAAAAAGGAAGGCCTGTCGCCATTAATGTGTATGTGTAGTCTGGAATGCAAAATAAATGGTGATCCTTTTTGGACAGACTTGTCTTTGATAGATTTAATAATAATCCAGCCATTGGACGGAAAAATTCAACAAAAAGTTCTTTCAGGTTTTTGGATAATAAGTTTATAGTGACGAGCAATTCTTTTTATCTAAGAATTGATTTTTATGAACAAATAATATATCAGTTATTCATAAGTCAGTTTGTTTATGTTACAGAATTCAGCACATCCATACATTATGCACAGACAAGTTGAAAAATAATGTAAAAATAAATCATTAACTGTGGTTAAAATGCTCCAGCTCTAACAAAATACATGGTTTTCCAAAATGAATGCAACCATTTTAAATCACTATAATTACATTAATTATTATCTGATACGTATGCAATGTACGGTACACCAATTGACAGAGTAACTGAGTTTCATCTTCCATTTGCATTCTTGTCTACCATCTATAGGAAGTACAGTAAACAAAAATGGTGACTTCACAGCAGAGAAGGCATTCTGCAGTTTGCAAAGTTGGAATTTTCAGTAATTTACAGAAGCTGTAGAACTATGGCTGCTATGGGATAAATAACAATATATTTGCTGTAGTGAGTGTAGTAATATGAATATTGATTGCATATGTGCCTTGTGACATAAGGTGCAAACATTTGAGAAATTGCAATGGGCAAATTGAAACTATAAAATAATGGAAAACTGTCAATGTACAGTAAATGACAATGTTCTCAGATAATTATTAACATAATTACAATAATTTAAAATGATAGTATTCTTTTTGGAAGATCCTGTATTATGATATTTGAGAAAATTTAAGCTTATTATTAATAAAGAAAACATTCACCTGGCATTAATAATTAGAATGTGATATTGGATGATTTTATGGGGTTAAGAATGAATATGGTAAGAAACTTGATTAAGTTATAATTAGTTTTAAATATTTAACATTGTGAGAATCTTGACCTTAAAACAGTTTGAATTATAATGTGTCTATTCACAAGCTTCCTATTTCTTTCCACTGCAAAAAAATAGTCATTATGTTTAAATATTTATCACATATGAAATAGGAATTGTTAATTCTGTACTATCAACAGAATATTTTTATAATATGCATAACTATGACTTATATTTATTGTTGTTAATGCTAGACAAAGTAATAATCATGACTTCAATGGTCATGTGGTTGAGCAGCCTGATCTTCTGAAGGAAGTAGATTCAAAACTAGTTGGAACCTCAAATTTCCAGTGGTTTGAACTAGATGTCAGGCCTCCTACCTAGTTACTCTAGTATGAACCTAGATGAACTCATGTTGGATAGAAAAAGTTTTCATAGTATCTGCAAGAGGAAGTTTTAAAAAAAATTAATTGGTATTAGTTATGTTCTGAACATGAATACTAATAAATTTTTGATAAACATCTGTTATTGAGTAGGACATATAAAACAGGTACAGTATGTACATGGAAAGGTGTAATGTGTTATAAGGCCTGTTTTTTCAAATTCATAAAAGAGAAAGATTTCTGATTATTATTAATTTATTAACACTATACAATAAAATTAACACATTTTATAGATAGGCAGATTGCTGAGTTAAGGCATCAATCAGAGTGGTAACTCTGAGGACCTGGAATTGAATCTGGGCAGTCAAAACCCCCAGAAATTTTTTGGGGGTGTCTGTTTCAGATATATCAAACCATTCTTGCCATTTTGACCACCCTATTGACCTAAAAGACCTTAGGGTCCATAGGGTGGAAAGAGAGGTTTTACAAAAATGAAAAGTTTCATTCTGCTAAATCATTAAAAACCTTTCATCTCCAGGAGTATAAGAAAAGTTAACTTGAATGAAGAAAAGCTTTCTTGTCTTGTTAATGGCACCACCACAAGTTCTTTGAAATAATTAATTAAATTAGTATTGTAGAGATATTGTTTTACATTTCAAACCAATAATTTTATGATTCAGAAAATAGACCCACTGCTGAGTCTTTTCAGATAGAACCACAGATAGGCCAGCCTGTTGACAAGGCACAAGCTAACTGCCAGTTGGCTTGTGCCTTGTCAACAGGTTAGTCAAGTGGAATTTTTCAGGTTTTCTTCATGTTTATAACACCTAAATGACAGCCAGTTTCCCATAGAAAATCCTCCTGGGAGGCTTCCCCTTGGCAGACCACCTGTGTGTCATGTTGCATGTAAAATAAACATGATTCAGAAAATATTACTTTAATTTATAATTTCAGAGTCCTGTTGGAGCAATTGTAATAAATCCCTCTACAAGTGAAGTTATATGCATTGCTGTTGATTTAAGAAAACTTCATCCTCTTCAGCATGCTGTAATGGTTGCAATAGATCTTGTTGCTCAAAGTCAAGGAGGCGGCACTTGGAAAATGACTGGTAAAGATAATTAAACAAAAACATTAATCAAATTTATATATTACTTTTGAAAAACTTTTCTTTTTATACTTATTTTAAATTTACAGATCCTAATTTATTCTTCAAAAAAGATACTTGCACATCTACTGTTCCATACTTGTGTACGGGTTATGAATTATATGTGACAAGAGAACCATGCACTATGTAAATTCAAGTTTTATTATTATTATTAATTGAAAAATTGTTGATATGTGCAGAATTAATGTATTTTAGTGTATATATATATTTTATTTGTAAGGAATTCGTATCATACTGTGTGTGTACACTTGTAATGGCAAGTACACATTTGAATGTGCACATAAATGAGGAATGGTAAGACCATATGGAATGCCTCAGGTTACAGATTGAAGACTAACATGTCAAAAATCACGACAAACATTTGGCATTACTCCAATCATACACAAGCAAGACTGATCTTCAAATGTCTGTTAAAGCACAACCACACTAAGCACAAATTCTGTTTGATGGATCAGTGGTGCTCAGCTTGTCCTGAGGCTGTGCAGCAAATAACTCAATGCTGTTTGTCATGTCTCATTTGCATGTGCTTAAATGTGTACCTGCTGTAATTTGAAATGAAATGGTAATGTTCTGCAGAATCTTAATAAAATTTATAAAAATGTACACATCGTTTATGCTTTTTATGGTCTTAGAATTTGAACATTTTATTTTTTATATGTATGTTATACTCTTAAAATTTTTAAGAATTTGTAATGATGATGATATTAAAATCAAAAAAATATTATCATAAAAATGATTTCAATACTCTAATCAGATTTCAAGTAATAGAGAGGTTGCAGTTGATGTTTTCAATGCAAAAACATGTACGTCAGACGTTCAGTGCCGCCTTCCTGTAAGCCTAGAAGTTTGACAATGGCATTTGGAACGTTAGTGGAATCATGCTCGACATTCCAAATGCCATTGTCAAACTTCTAGGCTTACAGGAAGGTGGCGCTGAATGTCTGACATACATGTTTTCGCATTGAAAATGTTGGCTGCAATCTCGCTAATAACTGAAAAACAATTTTATCTTGTACTTTAATTATGTATAAAAAATTTTTTATCTTTATTATCATTAAACTATACACTCTTGTCTGCTTTATCTCCTAAATTGATTTTTAAATATTAAAAATCAATATCTATACCAAGAAGTGTGACAAAAACTATTCAATCTGAAAATAGTTTGTAAGCATAAATAAAACTTACATATTCCAACTCCTTGATTCAGAGATTCTTGAGAATTACACCTTAACAAAATGCCAAATATAAATCATTTGTGTTGTAGAAGAGATCCGAAGATAATAGTCGAGAGATCGTGAAAGCATTAATCAAATAAATGTTATTGATTTATTAAAACTAAAATAAATTGCAAGGGAGTTGTCATTAAGAATGTTATAAAATTTACAATGTTGTGCACAAGCTGCTGGAGAATAAATTAAAATCATGAATACCACCAAAAAAAAAATCCATATTTATAAATGACCCACATAAACCTTAGGAGAGATGGGTCCCAGTAAATTTGGCCAAATCTTTGATATTTTGTAGTTCTTATGGTCCTGATCAAACATCTCCATTGGCACAAAATCAAAAAATGGAGTTATAGAGGATCCAAGATGCAAAAACAGCATGATTTACAGATATTGTGAAGACCTAAAGTGTTTTTGTTTCAAAATATATGTTCCAATAGAGTTCCTTTCAATCATTACCAAGTCTTGGCAGATTGAGTTCCTCATCCAAGTGCCATATAAAAGTGCATGCTGTCTACTAGCATAGTATGAATCTAAACAATGTCAGAATCAAACTTCAAATGTGTCACATGAAAATTTCCCCACAAAGAAATCCAGATAATGTGCCAAATATCAATGAAGTTTGAAAACATATTTTATACTTTTTAATGAAAATGATTTAGAGCAGTACAGTAGTTCTCAACCAGTGGTAGTAGGAAGGATCTATTAGTTCTACAAGTCTATACACAGAAGGCTCAGGTGGTGTATGAGTGAAAAAAAGTTGAGAACTGCTGATTTAGAGCTTCACAATAGTCATGAATTACACCATTTACACAGCATCTTGAATGCTTCATAACTCAAAAACTGTCCACTTTTTGACTTTGTGCCTATGGAGACTTTTTTTTAACAAGACCATCAGAACTACAAAATATCAGATTTAGTGAAATCCACAGGATCCATTTCCTGTAAGGTTTGAACAATTCTTTATTACATATATTTTTATATTAATTTATTTCTATTTAAATATTACAGGTGTTTTGTTAAATGTAGCTTATTATTTTCAGGTGTTCTATGGCACTGGTTCATTCTCGGATCAAAAGGGTATTTTATGGTTGCCCAGTTTCTTGGGGTTCATTGGGTTCTTCTATGAAACTTCACACCCAAAATGGACTGAATCATCATTACGAAGTATGGAAAGGTATTCTTGAAGAAGAATGCAGAAAGTTGTCAGAACACTGTATCAGTTGATCAACATGTTTAATAATTTTTTTATATGTTTATCTGATTAAATATATATTTATTTATACAATATAATGTGTTCATGAATTAATTTAACATATCTGAATTGTTCTTATTTTCTGAATACTGTCACGTTTTTATTCAAGTTATTATTTCTGTGTTTTACATAACATATGTTTTTTGGATAAAACTGGAAGTTGACTTTTTAACAGACATTTAAAACTAGGGATATTTGATTGGGTCACCCTGTATAACAATTTTTTTTTCCTTTAACCAATTAAAAATATAAATATGCCGAAATTACTACATAGTCAGTCCCAAGTTATGTAAAATTCAACTAACAGAAGTATTCCTTGTGTATGTTGGGAAGTTGTATTTATTACTAGCAGATGAGCCTGGCATTGCTCGGGAAAAAAGTATTAATAGCGAAGATTAAGATTATTAGATTATAGCCGATCTTACCCGTTTTATCAAGTGCAAGAATGTCCCTTCTCTTCTAAGATTAATTAGAAAATTTTTAGATATCTGCTTACCACACCGGGATAACAATAATTAAGACTCATTGCAACCACTAACCATTGCATAGTACCACTAACTTGTAAGTGATGAATAAATGTTTTTGTAACTCTTTCTGGGTTCTTCTTCAGGTTTACTAAATTCGAAAAATAAGCTGAATCTTCAAGAATCATTCATAAATATAAATTCAAACATAAAATCAAACATTAAGACAAAGAGTTCGAATAAAGCAAACTTATGCACGTGCTTTTCATGTCAACTTTATATATGAAATGCTTGTATACACGTGCGCCACCTATCATAGGATAAATGTATTATGCCAGAAACCTTTGCAGGAGTGTATTAAACAACTTCACAAAGTTTCATGGCAATCAGATAAATGGTGTAATAATGCATGAAAGACAGCAGACATACATTCATTTTTATATATATAGATTAGCTCCAACAATTGATTCAAATCAACATTTTTTTTCTATTGGATTTAGTCATCTATAAATATATAAATTACACAAATTATTCTATAATATATTAATAAAAAATATAAACGTTTTAATCCTAATAATTACAATATATACAATAGAGTTCCAGAAACTCAACTCGTGATAATTTAACATTCTGTAAAACTTGTCATCTAAACAAAAAGAAATACATGTAACTAATTTTTACCTTAACTTATTGTTCTTCACTGGCAACACTTGATAATAGCATCAATTTCACATGTTAAAGAATATAACCCTTTTTCCAAGTTGCCACTGCAAAAGGCCATGGCATGAAATGTCACTAACTCAAAAGTAGTCACTGAATACCAGTATTTGCTCTTTTTGTTTTTTTTCCTTAAATTAAAATTTAATTACAATTACAAATAGTCACTATTGATACACATATATGAATTTGCACACACAACACCTTTATGAAAATTCCACTACTTAGACCAGCATTGTCACTATGCCTCAAAACTTGCTATTTTCAGTAACTCATCATCTCAGTTTATGTTAAGTCGAATTTACAGGACTCTACTGTACAATTTGATGATATATAAACAAAAAAATTGAAAATGTATTGAAAGTACTTTTGTCTTTCTTACAAATAAAACTTCAACTGAAGCCTTGTTTATATATCATCAAATTATATACAAGTACTGTAAGATCAGTATGAAAATCTTACATGTATCCTTCTATAATAGAAAATATACTTTAATATGAAACAATTTTTTAAATAAGACAATGGTTTCTAATTTTAGAAAATTTTCTATTTAAAATACCTTTCTATTTTTCACTTTTCTTCACATTATGATCCTCATTGATGATAACAAGAGAGATATAAGAGGTCTTCTTCCAGGCCCATGGCCATTGAGAGGGGAGCTAGGGAATATTCCCTGGACCAAGAGAAACTTAAGAGCACGTAATAGCTCCTATCCCCTATAAAATTAATGTTATTTTTACTAACAGATAATAAAATCTTTAATACTGCTTTATTAATAAAGAAACATTCTACTTATTTAATTTGTTCAAAAAGAAACATGAAAAAAGTGTTCTGTACAAGCTCTCAATAGATGGTAGGCTTGGAAAAGGGTTCTCACAATCCAGCCACAATGGAGGCAACCAGATGATGAGATGAGGGCATAATACTGTATATACAAGACTATGCACAAAAAAATTCCTGGGTTTTTTGTCCAATCAAATTCAATTACAGGTCCCCAGTGGTAGGCTGACAGCTTAATTGCCTCAGACACGAATATTCAAAATTATTACATTTTATAATTTTAACAAAAAGATTTCTAATAATGACAAAACATATCCAAATGAAGATTTTAAATTCAAAAAACTTTTGTAAAATGTTTTGTAAACTAAAAAATTGAACTAGCAAAATTATTTTGGTAAATTCTTAACTGGAGAATAAGTAATTAGTCTTAATTAGAATGAATTAATGAATTTTACAATTAATTCTGAAGTTCCATAAAATGCCATTTAGCTGGCCAGTTGTATTGGATTTTCTAAATCAATTCTACTTTAAGTGATTTGATTTCAGCATTAATGCAAAACAAAAAATAATGTATGAAGAAGCAGTATTTATTAGATCATGGAAAAATTTTTAACAATAAATGTTTTAGAAATATGGGATGCCTTGTACTTTGAATTTAATTTGTTCCAGGAGATCATTTGAAGTCCAAATCAATTTCCCCCATCAGAAATAATGGAAAGTGAATTGATCAATTCCCAGACCCTAAACAATTCTCATTTTGATAAACCTAAACAGCAAATACACATATTTTAAGGTAAAAAAATAACAATTAAATATCCTAAATAATAAATGAAAACATGAAAAGAATATAATACTGTACATAAATACTGTATAATAAAATGAAAATTGCCTTTACTATACCTTAGGAGTGGTCTTTTGTCCTGTTTCTTAATATATTTTCCTAAATAAAGCCAGATATTTCAACTAACAAACAATATTGTATAAGATTTTTGTAAACTTTAAGGAGTTATAAATAAAAATAAAATGTTTTATAACTTATGACTTTAGTTAGTTGTTCCAAGTTGAATTGTTACATTTTAACTAAGATTTATACTGTTACAACTTATTAAAATTTTTAGATGATCATAGTTAAAATTAACATCTTATATTGTAAATTCAAACTAATGTAGATATATTTAGTTCATTAGGAATAAAAGTCATAAATTTCAAACATAAATCAGCTAATTTTTCAACTGAATCTATAAATGTAAGCACTAATTAAGTATTATGTGATTAGTGCATCTGAATTAAGGAACACAAGTACAGTTTAAGAGATCATATTATATTTAAATTAAGAATTACTGTAATTTAAACTTGTTACAATTTATATTTCACTGACACAATATAAAATTTAAAACATTAAGCACAATGTTAACCAAAAAAGTTTATGCGATTTTATGATGTTACTAGTTTAAATGTTAATTACATATTACTAGATAGTTCCTTGTCAAGCATGTTGTGGAACTATGTAGTTAACAGTCCAGCTTTTGGTCCCAGTCAGGTTGGTCAGAGCTTCTTGTTAATATGTAACATATGGAAAAGGGAGAAATGTATTTATCCCACTGCCTTCCCCTAAACATTGTGATGCTGTTTCTGTAGCCCTTGACAAAGTAGATCTACTTGCTGTTGATGAAGTCAAGCATGACCTTGACAAAGCAGTTCTTAGTCACTATTGCTCAAGTTGAGCTTGACATCACAATCATGTTTCTGTAGTTCTCAACACGGTCATTCTTCTGTGCTGCTGCTCAAGTCGAGTTTGATGTTGCGACTACATTTCTGCAGCCCCAACACGGTAGTTCTTAGCCTCTGTTCTCGAGTCAGGTTTGGTGTTGTGCCGACGTTTCATCAGCCCTCGACAGAGCAGTTCTTCTTCGCTGTTGCTCGAGTCGAGCTCGACGTTGCGACGACGTTTCGGCGGCCCTGGACAAAGCAGTTCTTATTCGCTGTCGCTCAAGTCGAGCTTGACGTTGCAAAGATGTTTCAGCAGCCCTTGACAAAGCCATTCTTAGTCGCTGTTGCTCGAGTCGAGCTTGACGTTGCGACGATGTTTCGGCAGCCCTCGACAGAGCAGCCGCTATTCTTTTCTTCTGAAGTCGAGTTTGACGTTGCGATGACGTTTCGGCAGCCCTCGACAAAGCAGCCACTATTCTTTTTTTCTGAAGTCGAGCTAGACGTTGGGATGATGTTTCGACAGCCCTCGACAAAGCAGCCGCTATTCTTTTTTTCTGAAGTCGAGCTAGACGTTGGGATGACGTTTCTGCATCCCTTGACAAAGCAGCTGCTACTCTTTTCTTCCGACGTCGAATTCGACGATGAGATGACGTTTCTATGTCCCTTGATAAAGCAGCAGCTGCTGCTCTCTTCCTCCAACGCCGTACGCGAAGTTGTGACGTTGTTTCTGCATCCCTTGACAAAGCAGTACTTACTCTTTTTCTCAGATGTCGAGATCGACGTTGTGATGATGTTTTTGTGTCCCTTGACAAAGCATTTCTTAGGCGTTGTTGCTCACGTTTCACATCACGGTCTACAATGGTGTTAGGTGCTCTTATTCTTTCAGATGTGGAATTTACTTGATCAATAAAATTTAGTTGTTCAATATCAATAAAAGTCACTTGATCGGTATCAATATACGTTATTTCATCAATATCAATAAAAGTTAATTGATCAATATTGCTTTTAGGCATTTTCTCAAATACTACATACCACGCTTCTCAATAAAAAAAATAAACAGCGATTTTGTTTGTTTATGAAGTAGCTCCATCTTGTCAATAATCAGGTTTCAAAATATTATAATAATAAAATTAATAACATTAATAAATAATATATAAATATTAATATTAATAATAATAACAACATAACAATAAAAATAATCATTTATTGACAAGTACTTTACCAAACGGGACTTGCAATCTTTTAATAATCAATGGAGACCGGGCGGCCGGATGGACGAGCGGTAAAGGTGGCAGCCTACCGCTCTGGGGGACTCGAGATCGCATCCGGACGGGTCAAGGAATCCCCAGGAATTTTTCGGGGGGGTGGTCCGTTCGGATATGTCGAGCCCCGTCCCTCACCACCCGGTCGCCCCATTGTGGGCCTGGCCGAACCCATAACGGGCCTTTTATAAGAGGCCCTCTTAGTGTCCACAGGACGGAAAGAGTAAAAAAAAAAACCAATGGAGACCATAGAAGAAAAAATTAATTTTATTTGCAAAACTATTTAAAAATTTTTCTTAAAATATACAATGAAAAATTTAATATAACTTCACAGATTTTCCTCATTGTTTGCCTGAAAGTAACTGATGCACTCTGTTATAAACAATTAAACCAGGCAAGTGTTTGACCACGATATCACCTACTGGGAAGCGACGATGTGGTTGAAGCTGTAGCACGCTTGCTTGTTTACTTTAATTAAAAAATAAAAAAAAATTAGGTGCGTGGCCCGGCAGGAAATATTATTTCTGAAATTTGGCCACCCCTGGCCTAAATAGAGGCCAGTTTCCCTTATAAAGACCTCCCGGAAGGCCCTCTAGGCAGATCCAAACAAACAGAACTGGAAAATAGTGATTCTGAAAACGAAGAACCCAAAAATTTCTCTACAGATTTCCTTAGTGAAAGTTTGGTAACAGTAACCGAAATCGTTGATCAAATTGTAAGCAAGCGAATGATCCAGATTTTGAAAGGAGTGCAAAAGCAAGACGAGACGGATGCGATCTTCTACTGCCGACATTTGCTTTAAAAAGAAGAGAAAAAAGCAACAAATGAACTACGCGACTTTATCCAAAAAACAACAATTTCAGAAGAGCCAGGACCTTCGTCACAAAAAATGAACTTTACATTTGTGTGTGTATATGTTTGTGTGTTATTTAACGTTTTTCATTCGATCCTACTGATGTTTAGATCTAACATTAAGCAGGCAAACACGAACAGTAACAAAAAAGAACTTTATTAGAAAAGGTTAGAACTGTCACAGACATCCTCGGGCAACACCCGGACAAAATCCAACGAACTTTTGCGCCTTTTCTTTTTTTGACGTTGCCAGCCACTCTTGTTGGCAAGTGTTGCCAGACAGAGTTCGTGATCGTGGCAAGTGTTGCCAGACAGTATTCAGGATCTCTGGCGCTGGCGGCCACAAACGTATATTATTATGCAAATTAATATAAAACTAAGTAAAAATTAAAGTGAAATTTGTTTATTTTTGGTCGCGTGTTCTCCTTTCCCTATTTACTCTGTGTCGAAATGACCTCGTTTAAATTAAAGAAAGACAAACAAACAGACGACAATGGGAATTTTCAGGTCTATTATTTTTTCCAATAGCTCACTAAATTTATACTTTACGATATACAAAGTTATATAACAATTCTTACATATATAATTTGTATACATCGAAATATTTTTAAAGCCTAAAATTTTTTGGCTTTTCTCAGTAATTTAGAACACACAAGAAACTCTTATTGATATATACTTTATTACTGGATTGCGGATATACATTTGGGTATTAAATCCTCCTTTGACTCCATCCCAGAGAGAGACAAGTGCCCCGTTTTTCTTCTTCTGCCATGCAAATGATGTTAAAGGAGTCATTATATTGCCAGACATAAAAGGAAAAGAAGTGGCAATTGTTTGAAGTAGTGGAAAGGAGCAAAGAAAAATTCTAGTACTGTAAAAAATTACTTACCAATTATTTAAAATGAAAGAAATCTTCATCCTATAAGATTCGTTTTTAGTCTTAAACTTAGCTTCACGGGTGACCTGTCTGCTGAACGTAGTTCATTCGCATTACTATAATTCAAACCATCAAACTGCTTCAAAATAAAAACCGAATTAGTGTGAGGGTCTATAACAAATTGCCCACCGGAGAGAGGAACAAACAGCCAACCAGACATCATTTAAGTCTACTTTGTGCTGGCTTATAATGCACATCCCAATCTTGAAGATCAAAATAGATGCGCATTAGAATCGAGAAAATAAATACTAACGCGTATTTTATTAGAAATTATTTTTATTGTGTGCCAGTTAGGTGATTTTATTACGTTTATCCGAATACAGTACATTTTCTTTTAAGCGAAATTTTACATTTAACAAATATTCTGCCAAATTCGAGATAAAAGAATTTGTTAAAAAGAATCTTACCTTTCCACTTGAATAAAAACCTTTCAATCTCCAGTGTTATTCTTCTTGGCAAACGTTTTCAACCCTACCAGGGTCTTCTTCAGGCCACTGTTATAATAAATTCAAACAGTACAAAATCGAACAGGAACCGAATAAATGCGATTCAAATCCTAGAACGTCAACGTTACTTTCAAAAATATAGAACACCACGCTCTTGCGTCGATGACGTCAAAGCTTGCGTAATTTGCGCTTGTAATAAATCCATATTACATCTAATTATGGGTTGTTCCTTCATAGCAAAATTTCCATGCACTAGATATGTTGACTGCGTCTTTGGAGTTAATACATGTGTTGTTTAATCCTGCTTTATAAATTTCTAAGGTATCCATAATCCTTAGTTGGTCTACACGGTGTGATAGCCTAATTAGACGGGCATTCTGTAGATCAACCTTTATTCCAGGTTCTGTGGCTACGGTTGAAAGGGTGGTGGTGTGCTTATTATTATCTATATCATACTTATGCTCCTGGAGACGTTTACGAAGGGAGCGCTTGGTTGATCCCACATACACTAACCTATTATTAAATTTGTCATCCCAAAGGGGGATAGAATATATTCCCGGTGCGCTTTCCCGTTGCGGAGTAAGCTATAAATAGATCTTGGCCTACTGTACGCTATTTTATTATTAGTGCGGGAAGAGATTTCTCTGTATAACTTGTCAAGATGGTGGTTGTACTCTACTATTTTTCTTTTATTATTTCCGTCAAGGGGAACATCTGGGATGTCAGGAGTATTGCACGCGCTCCTCTGTATATACATTCGTGCTATATTATATACCAAGTTTTCACTGTATCCATGTTGCGTGGCCATTTCTTGGATGTTATCAAGCTCAGCTATGGTGTCATCCCATTCGGAATGGTGGGTGAATGCCCTTATAGTCAATGCCCTAAATGCTGCTATCTTATAGGAGTAAGGATCTTCTGAGTTGGCAGGGATGAACATTGGTACATAGCATTTTTTGTAAAAAACTTTGAAAGAAATCCTATTATTCATTAATTGAATGTCCAAGTCAAGAAAGTGTGCGGCTATATTGCTTTTTTTTCAACCGTCATATATTTCAGTAAACCATAGAAAGTTTTCATCTTGGTTTAGTCACATTAAAACTGGGAAAGAGAATAATAATGAAGTGATAGATTGAACTAATTAGAACATTTTTCAGGATAGGAATGCAAAAATACATTTTTTGAAATGTTTAATCTATTCTTGTGCTGCGGTTTGAACTTTGGCACCATCTTTAATTTTTGAGAACAATCAGTTGATAACCCATATCTGATGATGTCAGGCCTGGGTTATAAGCAGAATACAGAATAATTTTTAAAAATTCTTTTTTGTATCATGAGGATAAAAAAGACCGTTTCTTTTGACCTTTCTCTGCCAGTACTTCTCCAAGTTGTTTCCAATGATCAGTAGTTAGAGTGTCGTTTATCCGAATCAATTGGGGAATGGGGTTGTTCGGATAACCGATTATGTACAAAAAAGTACATTAACCTATCTCGTGCTGAAATTTTTCTCTGTTGCATGTCTCTTCGTGTTGATTTTTCGTCGATGTTAAGCCTAACGAAGACTATTGTATCATTAAAAATTATTTTTTTATTTTGTACAAACAAAATAAATATATTGAAAAATATAAAAACAATAAAA